TCAAAGTTGATCTTTTGGGTGGACACTGCCTTTAAGTGCTAAGTCGTATACATGTACAGCTTATCCCGTATCTTGGAGTAGTGTAAGCCACAAAAAGCTTTGCATGCTTAACAGTTTTGGAAAATTTACTAGTCATATTTACGAGAACATTGTGGTGGCGCTGGCTTTACATGGCTCGTATATCAACGTTGTTTTGCGCAGACTGCTATCAAACGCTGTGCTTTTGATAGATACCAGCTTAGATGAACTCCGCACAATAGCCTTTGTTTTGCAAAGATTATATTATTGAATATACTTACTCCATGATGTGCAACCAGTCCACTGGATTCACTTTACTAATGGTTAAAGCAATAATTTTGTCTCCATGTTCTGCTTTCATCAATTTCGCCAACTCCTCGAGCTCCTGCGGCGTCGCATTCTCAAGAAGCCCCAAAGTTGTTATCAAATCTAAGGGTAAGAGTTCAGAATATGGACCTGCAAAGAATTCATTAGAGTATTCGATATTTTGATTGTTACCTCTTAAATCCGCATATGGATCACCGCTTAAAGCCATTGAAGCTTGAGAAATCAATTTTATATCGTGTGACAGTTGTGACATTCCCCTGGTATACCTGCATTTCTTATCAGGACTGAAATGATTCTATCAATTATCAGGCGGTTTGTACAGTTGGAATTGTTCTAAGAACAGTCCCAAAGATGTCCGAAGCAATTAAAAGGCAACCGTTATACGGTTAAATGAACTTAAAAAACAACAACTCAAGGTTATATCTTCTCTGAGTTTGGCCATTTTATGTTTGACTCGAGTAATACATGTACTGTCAAGCCCTAAATACTACAATGAATTTTCATTGACACATGCATCGACAAGGCCGTCTTCTTCGGATGTTAGTTCAGCGTGATGAAGGTGTTGAGTCCGCAACATTTCTGCGACTATCGTCCGTCTGCTACTTTTAGCGGACTACTAACATCTTCATCAGGGTGAGTCAACGACTGGCATCCTAGATTGTGTGCATCCAAAGACTCACACAAAGACCTTTCGTTTCATTGATCAAGCCTTTTCCTTTACTGATTATGATACCACCATACAGTGCTTCTAAATTGCAGAGTCGTTTGCACCAGC